ACAATGTATAACATCTTAAACAGCAATGCGTAAAACAAAGCTTCAGTGTTCAACTAAAAATTCCCTGCCTTCCAGTTACAAAACTTTAACTGTGGCCTAATCTTGGGTCTATTGCTAAATAGTCCTTTGATCTTATGCAAGTACTTAAATTCTGGGCCTTTCATTTCATCTGGGTCTCATTTAATGAGTAAAATTAAATAAAGTGGAGGGGCTAAAATACTTTTCAAGGATCTCTATTCTTTGGCCACGTTACATACTTTCTACTGTACTCTACCAACAGGAATATCATGGGTCTTGTACAACATCTAGAGAGTATTAACTGAACTTGGAGCAGCTGCACCTCTGAAATCTTCAAATTCCAAAATCCATTCTTTAACCTCAACTTCTTATCCTTTAGCTCTCCTATTTCCCCCATTACCTTTAACTTCACAGGCTACCCCCTTCTTTGATCTCTGTCTATCAGGCCCTTCTAAACTACAAAACGACAATGGTATTTCATTGACTGTAAGACTGTTGTTCCCCCCACATTTTAATGATTCAGTAATTAGCATGCCCCTCATAATTTAATTGGCAGTGTTTTCTTTTTCTCAATGGCAAAAATGTGGCAGTGTATATGCAACTAATGGCATCACAGGTGCAATAAAATATTTTCCTATTCTTTTGCCATATCTACTTTTACAAATCTTCAATCCTCAACCTAAATCATTTAACTTCTCAGCTTAAAAACGTCACATCCCAAACAAATTCTCTTTCCCTGCAAACCACTTTCACTATCCCTAGACATCCAGTATGTGACATTCTCATCTTGATATTTAATTAGGTCTTTCAACCTAATAGGGCCAAAATCCAACTTTTGATTCTCTACCACTTCAGCCTGTTTGTTCTTCTTCTGAGAATGGTAATTCCATTCTTCTGGTTTCTCAGACTAGGAATCTCTGTAGTGTCCTTCTGCTCAGCTGCCTTGTTGACACTACACATCCTATCTATGAGAAAATCCTATTAGGTTCAATTTAAAACATACACCTAGAATTCACCTTTCTCACTATCTCTGCCATTACTACCCTAGTTCAAGCCATCATCTCTTCTCTAGAATATTACCACAGCATTCTAGGTTGTCTTCCTGCTTCTTCCCTTGTACACTTAGTTCTCCTGCTGCTCAAAAACCTTCAGTGCCTTCCCAATATACTCAGAATAAAACTCTGAGACTTTATTACAGCCTACATGATCCTTCATGATCTGCCTTCTCCTCAGCTATGCCACTGACTTTATCTCCACTCTCCCTCACCCAATTTACTCAGTCTCCCTAGCATCCCTGCGCTCCTCAAAAATGAAAGGCAAGTTCCTATCTCAGGAACTTAAGAGTCCCTGCTCTCCCTCATATCCTTCTGATTTCTTTTTTCTTCCTTTTTTTGAGACAGAGTTTCACTCTTGTGGCCCAGGCTGGAGTGAAGTGGCACGATCTCAGCTCACTGCAACCTCTGCCTCCAAGTTCAAGCGATTCGTCTGCCTCAGCCTCCCGAGTAGCTGGGACTACAGCCTACCATCATGCAAGGCTAATTTTTGTATTTTTAGTAGAGATGGGGTTTCACCATGTTAGCCAGGATGGTCTCAATCTCCTGACCTCATGATCCACCAGCCTTGGCTTCCCAAAGTGCTGGGATTATAGGCGTGAGCCACCGCACCAGCCTCCTCCTGATTTCTTCTTTGTTTTTTTCTATCTAAAATATTACACCTCTTTATTTTCTGTTTTATTGTTCCTCTAGTGCTCATCACCATCTGACATACTACATATTTTTATCTGTCTCCTCCCATTAGAATGCAAGCTCCATGAAAACACAGACTCCATTTCTGTCCACTACTGTTACCTCCAACACCTTAACAGGACATGGCACATGATAGAAACTCAGTAACTTGAAGCTGCATGAATGAAAAAACAAACAAAAAAACAACACACAATCCGTATTCCTTAAAAGCAGTACTATCCTCTAAAGCTACCCAAGGCAGTTACAGATGCCTCTTTCCTCATTTTGAGGGTTGCTGTTTCTACACTTTATTAAAATTCTAAGATATCCTTTCCATTTTTGGAGTTTTCCATTTTCAACCCTATATAATCTTCTACCTCATTTTTCTGCCATCTATCTTGTCCCCTTCAAGTCCAAGTTCCATACCAACAGAGTAAGATTCCTAAAGAGTAAACATGATCTAGTTTTTCCCTTTCTTAAAACCTTTTAATGACTCCCATGATCCAAAAATAAAGTCAGCAACAGATGTACTTCTTATTATTGTGTGAGCTCTTACCTGACCACCGTAATGCCCAGGTCGAGTTGAAAGATTCCCACTCTTCCTTATACATATTTGTCTTACTCACTTTATAACCCTGGCTCTGGGAGCCTTTCTTGATTCCTCAGCCCCTTCTTTGTACTTTTAAACCTGTTCATTCTGCAAATATTTACTTGGCCAATTATGAACCACACAAAAAATTAGATACTGGGTATACGATGTTTTTGGTGTTAACTTAGATTATACTGGAGGATACAAATAAGCCAAGTAGATTGTTAGAATACAGTGTTGATTAAATGCTATCATGGAACAAGGTATTTGGGACTTAAAAACATTCCTTGAAGACACAATATATAAATGAGATCTGATAGATGAGCTAGAATTAGCTCAAAAGGAAGAGAAAGAAGAGTGTTTTAGAGAGTGGAAAGAGCCCTTGCTGCTCCAAGGTTGAGAGCCTGGTAAATGAAGCTGGTTCCACAACGCCGTCTCCCTGTTAAAACCCAGGTAACATTATGTCTCCAATTGTAATTCAGGTACTTTTTCTTCTCTGTTAAATTAAGAGCCATTTCTTGCTCATCTTTCTACATCAACATTTCCTTCCAAGTCCTGCAATACTTAACACACCTAAATTATTTTTTCCAGATATTCGGAATAGAAACTTTTTATAATGTCAATTGTAATTCTTTCCAGTGACGTTTTGTTTCTTGTTTAGATTCTTAGAAGTAACTATTAAAGATGGTAAAATGTAATTTACTAACACAATCTATTACTTACCGTTCTCTTTCTCCAGTTTCTATCAACTTTTGGTTAATCGCTGCTCTCATCTGCGCATCTTTGTTCATCTTGCTAACCTGGACATCAACATGTATTTTCAGATATAGAACATTTACAAAGCATTTTCTTCTAAATCCTCTAGGCAGGCATCCTAACATATTCTATCAACTGAAGGGGTGATACATTTCAAGTGTGTGAACAGTATCATTACTCTTCATTAAACACTTATGTGCTTGGCACTGGGCTAATGCTGTGGGGGTTTGCTTTTTTTTAAACATCACATTTAATTCCCAGAACGTATTGTTACATATTTATATTAATAACATAATCTGTATTTTACTGATGAGGAAACTGAGGCACAGAGATAGAAAGTGGAAAGGCAGATTTTGAACTCAAGTACTTTGACCCTAGGAGCTCCAAAACTGAACATAACTGCCGAACACTTCTGCACAGACTGAATCCAAAAATTGGGAGAAGTCATATAAACTAAATATCAAAAAAGATTAAACACTATTAGTAAAAAAATAAAATTACCAGGCTGGGAGCGGTGGCTCACGCCTGTAATCCCAGCATTTTGGGAGGCCCAGGCAGGTGGATCACGAGGTCAGGAGTTCAAGACCAGCCTGACCAAGACGGTGAAACTCCGTCTCTACTAAAAACAGAAAAATTAGCCGGGCTTGGTGGCAGGCGTCTGTAATCCCAGCTACTCAGGAGGCTGAGGCAGGAAAATCGCTTGAACTCGGGAGGCAGAGGTTGCAGTGAGCCGAGATCGCGCCGCTGCACTCTAGCCTGGGTGACACGGCAAGACTCCATCTCAAAAAAAAAAAAAAATTAATTAATTTAAAAAATAAAATTACTAGATAAGGCTCTAAGTGCTTTGCTTTACTCTTCATTAGGATGAACCCACAATTACAAGTGGTAAACGTAAGTGTGTGGATGTGTTTGTTTACACACACATTGCTGGTAGGATAAGGAGAAAACAAATCTCAAACTAATTCTTAACTTACAAAGTCCTCAATTTTCAGTAAAAAGAGACAACCCAAACCAAAATGATGTTAAAAGGAGAGGAAAGTTAGGTTTTGAAAGCATTCAAGCCACTTAAAAAGTTTAAATAAAACTTGGCGTAAACTAACGTTTTCCCACCTAATCTGTCACTAACTTCAGATTACTTTTGTTGTCTTCCATCTGGCCTATTGAAAATTCAGACTGGCAGTGAGTTTTCAGAGTTGATTTTTTTTTCTTTTTTGAGAGGAACAGGGAAAAGGAGAAGTTGAGTAAGAACTAGGAAATGCTTGCTTTTTTAATTGGAGGTTAACATTTTCAAAATAACTACAAGGTCTAGTCAGTACCATTCCTGGAATATTGAACTTGATCTCCTCTTGGCCCCTAAAACACGGATAGTGACCTTGGACAAGTCACTTAATTCTTAAAGGCCTCAGTTTTCTCACTGGTAAAACACGGGCGCTAGGGTATCCCTCCCAGTTCAGACATTCTTAGGGAAAATAGAACAGGGCGGAGACAGCGGGAGAGGCGGGAGGGGAGGAGCCAGAAAACAAAGCGAGGACTGGCTTCAGGCCAACTCCGGTAGCACGCCCTGTCGGAGAGCCCTACAGGCCCGCGAGCGCGGGTCGGGGACGCTAACGACAGACAGTACATCGAAAGGAGCCTGGGCTGGGCCCGGGTCCCGGCCCTGAGGACCACAGGCATAGCTCACCACCATCACCGCGGGCGAGGGCCGTCCCTTCCCAGCGACGAAATGACCCTTGCGCTGACGACCGTTACCTACCACACTCTTCGGCTGCCCGGACTTAGACCCTCAGTAGCTCGGGCACCTAAGCACACAGAAAGCTAGAACACGCATTTCCGGGGCGGGGTCTCGCCACCCTGCCTATAATGTGAGAATTTAACCAGCGCGGGCCGCCTCCTGGTCGCTAGGGCCTCTGGGTAAGATAGTTCAGACCTTGCCGTCGCGCGGGCGGTAAGTACCAGGAGAACTACATAGCCCAGCATGCAACAACCTCAACTTTTTCACGGACACTACATTTCCCAGAAGGCAGTTCGCACCGCAGTGTTTTCTGGGATGGGAACCACGCTGCTTCCCAGTCTCTGTGCGAGGCGTGAAGCGCGGACCTTTCAACAAGGGCTTTATTAATTCTCACGCTGCGACCCTGGAAAGCGATGGAGGTGGCGGCTAATTGCTCCCTACGAGTGAAGAGACCTCTGTTGGATCCCCGCTTCGAGGGTTACAAGCTCTCTCTTGAGCCGCTGCCTTGTTACCAGCTGGAGCTTGACGCAGGTGGGAAGCGGCGGCGCCTTTAGTACTCAGTTCCTTTCCCCTTTCGGTTGCCTCTGGCCCGACCCTTCCCGCAATTTCTTTCTTTCTGACGGGCAAGCGAAGCCACCGTGGCCTTCCTCACGGCCGGTCCGGCTTGGGTGGACTCACGGAGGCCGCTGCTTCTGGGGAATGATGCCCATCCCAGAACCTGGTGGGAGCCGCCTTTGCGCGCTCTTCGGTAATGGGACCCTGGGCCCCTTCCGCTCAGCAGCCCAGCCTCTGAGGACTGAGAGCTGAGGGCTGAGGGCTGAGGGCTGAGGGCTGGCGTGCGGTTGCTGCCTGGGGCCCTGGCCGCTGTGTGTTCACAGCCTGGCTCCTGTTTCGGGGGACGCTGAGAACGTTCCTTCCTCCTGGAGCTTCCCTTGTGAACGTGTGCGTTGAGAAACCACATCTCCTTGGAGGACCCACAGCTCCTGTTTCCTCTGACCGAGAGCCGTTTCTTAGAAGAGAAACTACATTCCAGTCATAGCATTTTTAATTACTCAGTTCCTGGCACATTAAGAACTCTGTGGTAGAGAACAGCTCTAGAAGATAGTGAGGAAAAGTCGATTTACTCCCACGCTGCTACTCCTTGTTTTATCTGTAGCGGGGTAGAATATCCTTACTCTCGTTTTTACAACTTAACGGTGTTGTCGTTATGATAGAACCCAGAGATTTGCATTTTAAAATACACACCCCTGCTGATTCTGAGGCATGTTTTCAGAGGTCACGCTTTGAGAAGTAGTGATCTAGAGTTAATTATAATAACAAACATTTAAGTGTAAAACAAGTTTTTGCTAATTGATTTATTAAATTCAGCACTATTTACTGAGTGCATGTGTTGTGTTACGTGCTGATGATGTCAACATGAGCAAGACACCTTCCATAAGAGGACTATTAACTCGTTAGGAAGAAAATTGTAAACAGATAATTGTAAAACAATATGGGAAGGCAGTGATAGGGATATGTACAAAATACAATGATAGTACTTGAACATTTTTCCTAAACTAGCTTGGGATCTGGGAAGGCTTCTTGGAGGAGTTAATATCTAAGTTGAGCTTTGAAGGGTAGGTAAGAGTTGACTAGGATGAGAGAGGATAAGCTTGATTTTTCTTTTTATTTGCTTCCTTTTCCTCTTTGCCACCGTGTTTCTTCCAGTCACCCCATGTGTCAGTAGATGGTGTCACCATGTTTAGTTAGCTAGTGCATTGGAAAGTGAAGCCAAAACTCAGTGTCTCAAAACAAGAAGCCGTTGTTATTGCTCAGAAGTCTACGGGTCTGTCAGCTGAGTGGTTCTTCTAGTCCTAGTTGGGCTCATTGATGCATCTTTGTTCAGTAATGGATCTGCTAGGAAGCTCTGCTCATTTGGCTGGATTTCCTCATATGTTTGGAGGGTGGGGGTAGGGTCTCAGACTATAGGCTGATTTAAGATTCTTTCACATGGTCTCTTCTTGACTCTTCTCCTTGTGGTCTCTTATCCTTTCGCCGACTAGCCCAGCTTGGTTCCAAGAGACACTTGTGCTGGAGTCATTTGGGGTTTCTCTCTTTTAGCCACTGTCTACTTGGTAGCAAGTCTGGTCAACTCCACATTTTGATATCTCCAGGCCTCCACCCTAGTCCAAATCAGAGTTATCTCTTACCTGAACTGTAGTAGCCTCCTGACTAGCCTTCCTGCCTTCACTTTTGGGTTTCGTCATTACATTCTCCATAAGACAGTATTTATTGGCCTTTTAAATTCTATCTTGATTTGTTGTCTGTTTCCTCCACTAGACTATGAGTTCCTTGAAAACAGTGATGTTTTCCTTTTGCTCACTACCCTGTATCTAGTGCTTGGCACATAGTGGGTACTCAATAAATTGAGTATATGAAGAAGAGAAGAAATTGTTGAGGGCATTCCATTCATGGGAAAATATGAGGAAAGGAAAATAATTAATAGGTTGTATGCTGGATATCCTTGCACTCTTACATTGCTGGAGCAAAACGTCTGGGAAAGTGAGAGGAGATAGATCAGTGACTGCCCTGTTTGTCTTTTTATTTCCGGTCATTCAGTGTTTCCCTGACATCTTTGTCTTGAGCCATTATAATATAAAACTCAGCTGCCATAGTTCTGTCAACTTTTCTGTTTACTAGGTGGAGATGTTTCTTAAAAACGATCATGTACTCACCCATCTTTTCATAAACAAAAGGATATTTTAACACCAAAAAAGCAGGAAGCAAAATCTCACAATAAACAATCCATTGAATACTTTAACTTTAGAAAAAACTCACAAAGTTGTCCTTATTCTATACTTATTTCATCAGCGTTAATCTTAGATTCTGTGTTTGGGATGTACAACTGGAGGATATCAGGTGCCATTTGAAGATTTTTTTTTTTGAGGCTGAGTCTTGCTCTGTTGCCCAGGCTGGACCGCAGTGGTGTGATCTCGGCTCACTGCAACCTCTGCCTCCCAAGTTCAGGCGATTCTCCTGCCTCACCCTCCCGAGTAGTTGGGATTACAGGCTCCTGCCACCATGCCCAGGTAATTTTTTTGTTTGTTTGTTTTTGTTTTGTTTTGTTTTGTTTTTTGAGATGGAGTCTCACTCTGTCGCCCAGGCTGGAGTGCAGTGGCACGATCTCAGCTCACTTTAAACTCTGCTTTCTGGGTTCAAGCAGTCCTTTGCCTCAGCCTCTGGAGTAGCTGGGATTACAAGTGCCTGCCACCAAGCCCAGCTAATTTTTGTATTTTTAGTAGAGATGGAGTTTTACCATCTTGGCCAAGCTGGTCTTGAACTCCTGACCTCGCAATCCACCTACCTCGGCCTCCCAAAGTGCTGGGATTACAGGCCTGAGCCACTGCTCCTGACTGATTTTTTTTTCTCTTTGAAGTTCTGGGGTACATGTGCAGGATGTGCAGGTTTGGTACATAGGTAAGTGGTATGCTGCACCTAATACCATCACCTAGGTATTAAGCCCAGCATGCATTAGCTATTTTTCCTAATGCTCTCCCTCCCGCTACCACATCCTCTGACAGGTCCCAGTGTATGTTGTTCCCCTCCCTGTGTCCATGTGATCCGATTGTTCAGCTCTCACTTACAAGTGAGAACATGTGGTGTTTTGTTTTCTGTTCCTTCATTAGTTTGCTGAGGACAGTGGCTTCCAGCTCCATCCATGTCCCTGTGTAGGATATGATTGTTTTCCTTTTTATGGCTGCATAGTATTCCATGGTATATGTGTACCATATTTTAAGTAAAAGGGCCTTTTTTTTTTTTTTTGAGAGCTGTGTCGCCCAGGCTGGAGTGCAATGGCCGGATCTCAGCTCATTGCAAGCTCCGCCTCCCGGGTTTTTACACCATTCTCCTGCCTCAGCCTCCCGAGTAGCTGGGACTACAGGCGCCCACCACCTCGCCCGGCTAGTTTTTTGTATTTTTAGTAGAGACGGGGTTTCACCGTGTTAGCCAGGATGGTCTCGAACTCCTGACCCCGTGATCTGCCCGTCTCGGCCTCCCAAAGTGCTGGGATTACAGGCTTGAGCCACCGCGCCCGGCCTTAAAAGGGCCTTTTACTTAAGATTTGGGAGTTGAGAAGCTTACCTCAGACTCTGTGGAGATTGAGTTTGGAAGATGAGAGTACTGCAGACAGCAAATAGCAGGCTTTTGCAATAGTTCACATGGTGAGTTTTTCGTTAAGAATTACTTGAGGATGATGAAAAAGAGATTATTTCTTTTAAAAACTGTCATTTCTAGAGATAGTGAAGCATAATTGAGGAGCTCCTGATAATTTGATTTCTTTTATTCTAACTGAAGGAGTTCACTTTAGTTGCGCAAACCTTTGATGGTCACCTTGGCTACAACAAACATTGCATTTAAGATGTAAAGATAACATGGTCTCTGGTGTCAAGAACTTGATGCAATGAAGCTTATTCTCTTGTCTTAAATAATGTTATTAAGTTGTAGCAAAATTTCCTTTGCTACGTAAGCAGTAAATGTCATTGTCTTTCTGTTCCAAAGAACTAAACAAAGAACTTATTTTTAATCAAATTGTAATTGCCTTTTGATCTGGCAATTCCCTTCCTAGGCATTTATAAGTATCCTTTTCCTAGAACCTTCATTTAGTACATGTCTTTTTATATGTTTTTATATGTTTCCCACCTATATTTCATCTAGCTAATTCGTATTTCATTCTTTCATGTTGGCTTACATATTACTTCCTCAGGGATTCCTTTCTTGACTAGTTAGAATCTGCACTATAGAATCTGTACTATATGTTGTCATAGTAACCAGTACTTCATAGACTTTATCATACTTCGTAGCATCCAGTATGTTTTCTTTGCTAAGATTATTGATTTTGTATTGAAGGGTCCCGTGCCCATCATTTTCAATGCTTTATCTCCAGGGTTGGAGCATACCTGGTTAGTAGGAGATAAATTTGTCTTACAGATTAAACAACTTTATGAAGACATAATTGACAATAAACTACAAATTTAAAGTGTACAACTTAACAAGTTGTGATACATGTATACACCCGTGAAATCATCACCACAATCAAGATACTAAATTTAGCTGTCATCTCCAAAGTTTCCTCGTACCCTTCTGTAAACATCTCTCTGCTCCTTCTGCATTCTAGGTTGACAGTTTTTCTTTCAGTGCTTTAAAGTTAATAGCCTCAGTCTTCTTGCTTGTATTGTTTCTGATGAGAAATCTCACATTACCCTATCTTTGTTGCTGTATACATAACATGCCTGTTTTCTTCTGTTTTAAGATTTTTCTCTTTTACATTGGTTTTTAGCAGTTTGGTAATATTGTGCCCAGCTGTGGTTTTCTTTATGATTCTTACATTTGGGGTTTGTTGGGCTATAAACCGTGAACATATAGTTTTTGTCAAGATCAATGGTAATATTTTGGCCATTATTTCTTCCAATTTTTTCCCCCTATTCTCTCCTTTGAAGACTCCAGTTACACATTTTTGGATCACAGAAGTTGGCCTCAGCTCATGAATGCCCGTT